AAATTAGTTTTAACATCATTTTAATATTTTTGTAAATTTGCAACCAAATTAATAATAAACCTGAAGATATTACAAAGAAAATGAAAAAATATCAAAACAAAAATCACATCAAAATACTACTACTGTCAAACTTTTTGAATTAGTAGTGAGAATAATTAGAGAGAATTTTATAATATTTCTTCCTATCAGAAATTAAATGAAAACACTAACATCACACTAGGTAGGTGCAAATAAATTTAAATTTTGGTGTATTTGAATGATACAGATAAAGTTTACAAACATTAACCAAAGTGGATAAGAGAAAAAGGAAAGCATTTGTAAACTGTGTTAGAAGAGAATTAGAAATAAAACACCAAATGTAAAAATTAAAAAATAATAAAAATATAAAAAATTAGAAATTCTGATAATTTTTAGAAATATGTCACTTAATAAAATTAATTTTTAAAATGTAAAATGTAACTTTATAACCACAATTGAACATTTTAAAAAATCTTCCCACATAAAAAAGAAACCACATCTATTTGTCTATATGTTAATAATTATCAGAGTATTTAAAAAATACAAACTATAAAAACTAGAAGAGCAGTAAGTTATTTTAGGCCAAGAATATAACAGTATACATTGAAATATTTTGTATATGCAGTTGTGCTTAGCCAGGTATAACCATGAATAAGTAATTTGAATACCTTGCCATTTAATTAGTAGTAACAAACTGTTTTTTAAAAGAATAAATATGTGATTAAAATATCAGCTTAAATTATAAGATGTAAATACTTAGGTAGAAAATTACAACTTGTAATTGAGCTATTAAAGAAGTCCAAGTAATTTGAAACATATAAGAAGTTGATGAGTATGAAGATTCAGCATCACTGAAAGGTTAACTTCCCAAAATACACCTAGAAGTCTAACGTAATGTCATTCAAGAATCCAAAAGTGGGCATGTGAAGTGAAAGCAAATTTTGACATTCATACAAAAGATGAAAAAGTTAAAAAAAAAATCTAAAATGCATCTGAAAGCAAAAAAATGAAGAATATGAACCTCCCTCATCAGATTATAAAGCTTATTTTGATTAACATATAGGTGTCTTCAGATATAGGGAGGCAAACCAGCTGAAGTAAAATAAAGAGTGAGGAGACAGCTTCTGCAGGTGTGGCACATGGCCCTGTTAATGTTTCACCATAGATTAAGTGACCAATAAAAGGGCCTGATAATTGCTAGCCAAATGGAATGTTCATGAAATAGTGGCTCAACACCATACATAACAGGCAACATCATATAGATCAACAACTCAAATAGGAAAAACATAATTGGGAAATTCTAGAAGAATATGATTGAAGCCAAATTGTGTCATTGTAAAGATTTAATACAAATCCAACCCACATATACACACCATATATATGATAAATCAGACTATGTTTATAGAAATGAAACCAGAAAAAAAAATAAAAAGTAAAGCCCAAAACTGAATGAAAATACAGGCAATTATCTAGAACACATAAACTTTTTAATTAAAAAAGGAGAAAAGTAAAGTTTGGCAAATTATTATGTATTTCTTATATGAGGGAACACAATAACTAAAAGTTCCCTAGCTCAACAAAAGAATGTGTTTATAAAGCCACAATTAAATACTCTTTTGTATAATATAGTGATAATTTAAAATTCTCGATTGTATATGTGCTAAGAAAGGCGATAGAGCAAAAGGAATTTTCATTGTTCCTGGCATGGGTGTGCCCACTTGGCAAACCATTGGGAAGCTGATTTGTAATCCTCGGTACATTTGATCACATAAATACACTACTATCAAGCAATGTTATTTCCTGAACAGTATTTCCATGAGCTAGACTTTAGGAACAACAGATGTGTAGAAGAATATAATTTTGTTTAAACATCTTTTTACACCAATAATTCTCTTTCAGTGTTATATTTAAAATATAATAGATGAAAACCACTTTAGTGCTGTCTACAAATTTTTACTCTGCGTAATGCTTTGAGAATAAATACCTTTTTTGAGTTTTGAATACATACTGATAATGGAAATTTGCATAATATTAGGTAATGGAAATTGCTGAGGCCTCCCTAGTATCCCTTTGATCTCTTTTAGAGTTTATTATTAACTGGTAGTTTAATCATATAGTACTTCACAAATTAATTTTTTAAAATTAATGACAAAATACTAGTATCATCTGATACATCTTTGTTAGAATACTACATGAAAAGTGTGAGTGAAATTCAAACATGGCTGAGCCAGGTGCGCCATACGCACATCTAGCAGGCTAGTGGATACTCAGGATTTTGAGCACGCTCACTCTCGGGCGTTGAGACTGGCTTAGATCCGGCTGAAGGACATCCCGTTCCGCCTATCTGCTGCCTCCATCGCTTGCCCAAAGGATCAACTAATCCTGTTATGCTCCCTATGCGGTGTCCCGCCCCTTGCTCCTTGACTATATAAGTGATTGCTCTGCCTGTAAAAACTAGAAGCATTCCAGAAATCTCCCCGGAGTCTGTGTCTCATGCTCCGGATCTGAGCTTCAGAACCACAGCACAAACAGACAAACAAGAAGTGGTGATTGAACTGGGGCTCGCATATATCGGGTAAATATTGAAGAGTTGGGTGAGTGATCCCCACAGGTGTACCTGATGGGTAATCTTCTAAGTCATGATAAGCTAGCTCAGGCTACGTTACTGAAAGCCCTCTTTAAAAACGCAGGATATGATAGTCTCCCACGAAAGGCTCTTAGAATTATGGGAATCAATCCTTCAGCCCTCCCCATGGATGGAGTCTGCTGACCGGCATGACCCAGTGGTCTGGGAGGTGCCAGGTGTAAAGTGCAGAGAGCCGAAAAGCACAGTTAGGTTCGCCTCCCCCTGGACTTCTTTCCCATAACCTCAGCAATACTTGTGTTTGGACCCCATGTGATCAAAGCCTCAGAAGCATGGGTCCCGCAGGCCCTCTCTAATGACAAACAAAGACTCACTTCAGGGACAAAGCAAAGATGGCAGCTCCTTCTCCCTGGGGAAAAATGGAGGTTGTTGTTGCCCACTTCTGCTTTCTTCCTTGGAGGCGGCCCCCGCGTCTCTGGGAAGATGAAGATTCTTCCGCCCCGCGTCATCGGAAAGTACGTCATCCCAAGGAGGCCACCGCTTCCGGTCCATCATGGCGGCCCCCACCGTGCACGCTGCCATCTTACCGATCTCACGATCCTCCGCTCCTCGTCAGATAGCGAGGATCCCCTATCGTCCAGTGATGATGGTCCTCATTTGAATGAAGCCTTCTTCCAAAACATGTTTTAAAAATATTTTAAAAGGACCCCACCTCTCCGGGCCTATCCCGTCACGGTGGCCGGCCCTGGGGTGGCACCCTGGATCCCCCTTTGGTCACGCAAGCATGAGCCCTTGACCCTAAGCCCCTATTTTTGTTACAGTGGATTGGAACTCTACTCTTCCCCATGTGTTTGGCAGTGATTCCAACTTTCACCCTTCCTTGATTGAGGGTAATTTTTCTCTTCTAGATTCATCGGAGGTAAACGGCCCATAGGCTTCAGTCCACTGTTCCTCACTTTAGGTGCCAATGCTTCCTTCAATGCTAACACTTCCTTCTCTCCTGCTAGCACCTCTGCTTCCTTCTTCCCCGACGGTACTGTTTTACCATTCACAGCCTGTCTTCCATTGCCGTTTTTCTTCATTGTAACCAATTCCTCTCTCAAGCTCAGTGATATTGTCCATGTCTCCTCCTGCATCTATCCGGCCATGTTCGCTAATAAAACCTGGTGCCTCTATTTTGGCCACACACCCCCCAATAATTAGGCTACCCATAAATCTTATGGGTGAATGTTGAGAATCTGACCCCCTCTTCGCCGTAATGCTTCACCCATGACGTCAGCGAGATCTGGTGTAGCTGCCATCACCGCCAGTCATCTCCCTAACAGCCACTTTAACTGCTGCAGCCACCGCCTCTGTTACCCTGCATAACCAAATCGAATGCTGCTCCACACACCCCCCAATAATTAGGCTACCCATAAATCTTATGGGTGAATGTTGAGAATCTGACCCCCTCTTCGCCGTAATGCTTCACCCATGACGTCAGCGAGATCTGGTGTAGCTGCCATCACCGCCAGTCATCTCCCTAACAGCCACTTTAACTGCTGCAGCCACCGCCTCTGTTACCCTGCATAACCAAATTACGAATGCTGCCGCCCTTGGCCGACTCACCCATAATACATCCCTCGCTGTAGGACAAGGTGCAGCCCTATTTCAAGATGTATAAACTGCTGTTCTTCACCTGCAAACTCAATTGGACCTGGTTTGGGAAGAACTACAAATATCAGAAACTAAAGTTCTAAGCCGGTGCCAGGCAAATTATAGTGATATGTGTGTCACCCACGTGTCTATAAAGCTGCAACTCTATCCTCCCCTTACATGCTTACTATATGTAGGTTGATATTTTATTTCATCCTCAAGCTAAAGAGCTTCCCATTGGTATAAACAAACCCATGCTAATGTAGTACTTTTGACTGAGGCGATGGAGTCAAAAGAAAAAGGGGAAAATGTGAGAGAAATTCAAGCATGGCTCAGCCAAGTGTGCCACAGGCACATCTCCTAGCAGGCTAAGGGATGCTCAGAAGTTTGGCTTAGAGCCGGTTGAAGGATGTCCCATTTCTCTTATCCACTGCCTCCTATCCAAAAGATCAACGAGTCATGTTATGCCCCATATGCAATGTCCCACCCCTTGCTCCTTGGCTATATAAGTGATTGCTCTGCCTATTAAAAATGGAAAGATCCAGAAACCTCCCCTGAGTCTGCTTGGTGATTCCATGCCTCATCCTTCCAATCTGAACTTCAGAACCAGAGTACAGACAGACAGACAACAACAGAAAGGTACAAAGGAACTTAAGAGAAACACCAAATATAAAGATAATTTTTACAAGGAAGCGACTTCTGTAGACATTTTCCATTGAACTTTGAGCAGTAGTATTTAGTGTACGCCAAAGCTTGTGCTTACCAGCTGTTGCCCTTGGACACCCCAGGCTGCATACTGCAAAATGGAGTCCTCTACTTCTGGGGGATTTAACTCCCAAACTTCCCTTGAAAAGAAATGTGAATATTTTTACATCTATACAAATAATTTATCTGCACAATTGCTCATGAAAACCAGAAAATAGAAGAACTTACCTAGTATGTATGTTGTAAATCACATATGAAGCTGTATATGAATAACGAAAAATCTGAAATTGAAAAAAGAAGAATTATTGACTGTAGTTTGGGGAAAAAAGCTTAATTTTAATGTCTATAAATTTTTGATGAAATCCAGAAAATTCAGGTCCTGATATAGAGAATTCAAAATTTGAAATCTTCTGGTACGGGAGTTTATCACCTCCTCTGTGGGTAACCACAACAGCCTTCGATCTTCTTTGCGACCTTCAACCTCATTCAGTTCTTCCTATCATAAGTATAGTTGTAACTAGCTCACTTTCTTCCATACACTTTTCAGTAACACCTCACTGCCTGAAAAATGAAGATCAAACTACTCTATTTGATGTTTAAATACCATGGAGTTTGGGCTTCTATATGTTTTCTACCCTTACCATCCCCTGCCTCACTTGACTTTATCTACATTTTAAATAGATTAAGAAGATTCTTTCTGTAAATCCTGAACTTTTGTCACTGCCCTTCCAATCTCCCACTAAAACCACCTATGTTAGCTAAAGTGGAAAGTGTCTAATACAGCAACTGCGTGCAGCTCATGCTTCCTGCGACTGAAATCCACATTGCTCACATTGTACTGTGTAGCTCTTAGGTTGCTTCTCACTGTGAAGTGTAAATTATATACTCCTTTCCCCGCTTGAATGTTGTCAAGCACAGGTATGTGTTACCCTTTCATCCTCCACATAACTTAGTACAAATGTTTATATGCAATGTTCTATTGACATTTATTGAATAATGGTTCTGATAGGGAAAAGCATGCGTGTTGAAGTGTTTGTTGGTGAAAGTAACATGGAATATTATACCCCACCCTTTCATCCTAATGGTTGGGAGTGGTACCTTAAATAGCTGCTGCAAGTAAAGAATCCTCCAGACGTATTATTACTATCTCTGAGGAATACTGTTTCTTTTCAAAGGTCACTTTCCCAAAGATAATAACACTTCTCACGAGGTGACAAAAATCTCAAACAGGAGTACAGTGCATAATGCAGAAATAATATCATATTTCTGTCTTTATCAAGTAGATTTGATGTAGAAGATAGGAGAGTTGCAAAAGAGATTAAGAAAGTGAATGGCGAGTATGTTCTTCAGTTAAAATTATTTTTCTCAGAAGCTTTATGATTCTAGTGAAGTTTATTTTACCTAGCTATATTGTTATATTTTTATTTCAGGATGTATGTGGATATTTTATTTTTCAGCATTCAATTAAAAAGCCTCTTTTATTCCTTTTTTTTTGGTACCAGGGATCAAACTTTGGTCCTTGTGTTTGAAAAGCAGGCAGTGGAACCACTGAGCTAAATCACCGGCCCAAGCCTCTTTTATTCTTAGAGTGCATATACGTGTTACAAATTTAATACTGTCAATTATACTTTCTGGAAGTCTGCTATTTCTTCAGGTTCAACAGTATCTTTAATTAAACAAGAGTGGCTCCCTATTTGGCAAAATACTACTATTGTTCTCTCTTTGCATTGAGATTTCAAAAATTTCTCATTTCTTACAGAATTGTGTTTTACAATGTATCTTTAATTTTCTCTTCTTTTTGAAGTAACTTAATTCTGAGGTTGCCTTCACTTTAGTGTTAAGCAAAAACAGTTTTTCTGGGTGTCAATTTTGAGATTCACATTGACTTCTGTAAAATCCCATACTTGACTACGAATTTTAAATTTTTTTGGTTGTTGTTCTTTTTGAGATAGGGTCTCACTATGTAGTGGAGACTGACCTGGAACTCACTATTTAGCCAAGGCTGGTCTGGAACTCACAGCCATCCTCCTGCCTCAGCCTCCTGAGTGCTCGGATTACAGGTGTGTGCCACCACACCCAGCTCTGACTACAAATTTTAAACCCTGAACATCTACTGTACTACAGAAATGAGAAATATGTTTACCTCTGTCAACATTTTTTATGTCTCTCTCAGAAAAGTTTTGTTGCTAAAGCAAAGTGCCAAATGAGCACTTGGTCTTCAAAACAGATAAATGTATCAAAGCTGTTATGAGTAAAAAGACACTATTCATCCTATTCAGTAATCACCTAATGCACTATCCCTGCTTGCTAGGCACATATCTATGTTCAGAGAAATAGTTGCTGTGCATTATTGTTTTGGGTAAAGCAGACCACCAAACAACCACTGAGATATAACTAAGTATAATATAAGAATACCAGTCTTCTGTAATATTTCTTATGGAGGTTTCTAGCTCTTCTCTATGTGTAAATATAAATCACATAGATTCCTTCAGATGAAATGGAGTAGGGGACATATAAATCTGCTGCTTGCACTTTTTAGTTTGTTATAGCATTTGTTTCAATGACTATACCAAGGCAGAAGATCACAATAAAGACTTACTTCCAAACCTAGGGCAGGCTGACATAATAAGTTCAAATACTTCAGTCTTCTCTCTGTATATGCACAAAGCCCGCAGTTTGCCCTTTACATAAAGTTAAAATCTATTCTTTACTCCTCTAATGGATCTTTTCTTTAAATTCAGCATCCTGTGTTGTTGTTGTACATGTGTGTTCTCAGATCTCAAATGCTTCTTTTGCTTATAACTTTCCATAATTAAAATAAAATCCTATGCCCACAGCAGAATATAAAGAGTATGCAATGAGGGTGGGATGCTGAGAAGAGTTATAAGCATTTTTCCCTTTTTTTTTTCTATTGATCATACGATGTTAGAGAAACTTTAACAGCAGGTTATTCAGTGAGAATTAGATTTAGCTTTACTGAAGATCTATATCAATGCAGTCTCTTATAAATATACTGTGAATCCCCCTACCCTCACTCTCCATGGAAAAAAATTCCTAATATTTTAGTATTCCTTTTCCCAAGCCTCCCCTTCTTTACTGGCTAGGCAAAGCTGATTCCATGATGTGGGTAATATGGAAGTCACTGTTAGTAACCTTATGGCCTTTCCCTTAATGACTGGGTGCTGTGCAACCAAAGCCAAATGAGATCCTCAGCGACAAACACGTTCATAGTCACAAAAGTTCATATTCATCCATCTCTGCAAATGATGTTCCACCACTTGTTACTGAGTGTGGATAGTTACAGTGAGAGGGGACAGAATTAAGATATACTGTATAAAATGTGATAAAAGTGTATTCCTGGACGCTGGTCTTAAGAAGTACTATCATTCAATCTAAAGATACAAAAAAGTATAGGAAGGCTCAGAAAGTAGCAAAAGATTATGCAATCCAAACTGGACCAGATCATCTCTACCTTACTTTGTAGTTCCTAAGACAAGGCTAATTACTGAGAGTTGACTGCAGGAGTGATATAGCCAATTCACACTATTCTTAAATGGTTATATGTATAACAACATTGCAAAAACAATATTAGCAAATAATGAAGCATCACTCCTATGAAGAACACAGGATTAGGTTATTTTGAGCACCTGATCATAACATTTTCATCAATTGATACATAATTTCATTTCATATTCCTTTATTTTTAAAGACTAATTCATTCACATTGGACTCATGAGCAGTAACATTATGACTCATGCTTGAGTGGAGTAATATAATATACATATATCTCCATAAGAAGCCCCACGGCCTCTTGCAGTAAGAAACAAATTGCACTTTAGCGCTATACTTGGGGTTCGGGGTAAGCAGCAGTGACCGATTTTAAACAACAAAAACAGCAGAATACATTTTAAAAAGAGCATTAAATAGATAAGAAAGATCTGTTTCTTTACAGTCTGAGAGCTGTAGAATGAAGGCATAGCGTTTATCTGCTTGGCTTCATCTAGAAAAGTGTGCACCAGGCAATTCAGGGTCCTTTTGCTCTGCACATCTTTGAGATACCAAAATCCCCAAAGGTGTGAGTTGAGTGGGACAAGTAAATTTTAGCAAGGACGCATTTGCCAAGATGGAATACAAAAATAATGCTAGACTGTATTAGTAATAAAGAGATGGCATGAGATGTTACCAGAAGAAAAAAATGGCATAATTAAAGCTTGTCAGGGCTTGAACACAATGAAATTATACAAAGTATGAATGGTGGCAGTGATGCTCTGCACATGGAAATTAGCTACATCTATTTGTTTAGTGAACATCTGCTAAGTGACTTCTTTGATACAGGCAGTACACCTAGAATTCTTTTCAATTACCGTAATAAAAAGAATTACAAATGGGATAAAATACAACAGATCATCAACTGAACATTTTTATTTATGCCTATATATTGTCTGTCAGGTTATGAATAACTACTGAACAACATTTATGTACAAGCTCATAAATTAGTGACCTTGCCAGATGCAAGGACCATGATATATGTGATTTCTGTCCCCGAGGAGCTCATGATCCAGCTGACATTACAATGCTAAGAAACGCTGCACTAGTGGGGAGCATCCTGCTGCAGGTCATGTTTAGGTTAGTATGTGCATATCGCAAGGCTTTCAATGAAGTAATACTTTTGTTTTCAATAATACAGCATAAAGAAAAGAATGGGTGATATAGGCACTCAAGAGATTAATATAGGTGATAGAAATGCAGCTAGTTTATCAAACTTTAGGGGTCCTGTATATAATAACAGTTCTCAAAATGAGCATTCACTGCATATTGGACTCTGAATGTTTTCATATTTTATAAAATTAACAATTTAATAAATAGATATTATCACTCATAATTCATATGATAGATCGATCCCATAATGCTTAAATTTAAAATTTAAAGTTTAAGCAAAGCCATGATCTGAACGCAGCCCATTTGACATCATGATTTCATCTCTCTGAATACCATTTCAGAGACTAGTACCTAACGCACAACTCCACTTTGTAAAAGATTCACTTCTAAAGAACCAATTAAGCCACCATCTTAAGTTTTACTGACAGGATTACGCATGAATGAATTGTGATTATCACAATTAAGAGACTTCATTTTGGAAAGATGTTCTCATTTATCAGATTAAACATGTAAATCTTTCATTATTTTTTACAGGATTTTCTTTACCGTATCAGTCATTACTTATGATCTGCTGGGATTCATATCAAGGAGAGGTACAATCACAAAACAAACAAGAACAGGG